AGGTTTAGGTTGGATATTAGGAAGAGATTATTTATGGAGAGAGTGGGATCAGGCATTGGAATGGGCTGCCTGGGGCGGTGGTGGATTCACCATCTCTTGAGGTTTTGAAGATGAGACTGGATGTGCCACTTAGTGCCATGGTCTAGTAACCACGGTGGGGTAGGACTTGATGGTCTTTGAGGCCTTTTCCAACCTGGCTGATTCTATGAAATGCTATGAAATAACTGGCTAACAGGATTCCATACCTGCAGGAACACATGGATGAATGTAATCTCTAGCTTATTTGGCTGTTGGTTAAAACAAAGTCATTCAAGAGAACATTTAGATATTTTTGTAGCACTACATTGAGGGTGGTTTCTAGACAGTCCTGGGTTGAACCCTGCCCCACTGTGAATGAGGAATTGAGTAGCTGCCTGTTTTCTTTCCCCACTGTGTTCTCTGAAGCAGAGAACAGCTCTTAATGGGAAACCTTTAGGCCCTCTACATATTGCACTGTTATCTGTTAAGTGTCTGAATACAATTTTCATTCACCTTTTCCTCCATCAAATAAAGAAAGCTCAAACTTACCTGATGTGCAGTCAGGGCCAAACAAATGAGCTTCAGCACATTTTTCACAGGCTGTACCACCAAATCCTTTCTGTGAATTACAGATGGATATCAGAACTTAGGTTTCTCATCTTTCTCTATACAGCTAGATATATATGCTTAGTTAAACCATGACACTTAGCAGCCTGAAACAGCATCTTTCACTGCACACAGAATTTTCAATCAGCAAACAAAATAATAGCCACTGCAAAAAGATTTGTAGTTCTTCACTTCCAATCAGATGTTCTGAATATCAAGTTAGCCATAAAGTACAGTAATCAAGCCTAATGCCCAAATCAGTCTCACAATTGTTAGGTTGTATTTTCTGACTACTTCTCCCTCTGTCTCTTTTTCATACTTCTCTAAAGCATTTCTGATGTAAAGAAAAGATCAACCAGTAGAGGGAGAGGTAGAAAAGATTAATTTGAATTGTTTCTTTAAAAAATCCTTTTGCTTGAAGTTAAGCACTGCATGTTGCACTCCTGGCAAAGGAACATTTTGTGGAGAGTATAGTCCCATGAATAAGCACTGTTTTATTAGGGCAAAAAGTCATAAGTAATAGCAAGCTCTAAAAACTAGAGGAACTTGAAGCACCTGTTTAGGGAAGTCAAGATGGAAGAGCTTTTAGTAACAGAAATCAGCAGTGAGGAGAAAGACTTGGGAGTGACAGTGGATGAGAAGCTACCCATGAGCTGCAGTGTGAGCTCAGCCCAGAAAGCCAGTGAAATCCTGGGCTGCATCCACAGGAGTGTGGGCAGCAGGTCAAAAGAGGTGATTCTCCCACTCTACTCTGCTCTCATGAGACCCCACCTGGAATACTGTGTGCAGTTCTGGTGTTCTTAACATAAGAAGGACATGGAACTGCTGGAGCACCTCCCCTATGAGGACAGGCTGAGGAATTTGGGGCTGTTCAGCCTGGAGAAGAGAACACTGTGCAGAGACCTCAT